GGGGGCCCCAATCTCCATCCTGCTCCTCGTTTGCTTCCTGCCCACGAAGTAGGGTATCTTCCTCAGCCGCATCAGGAGCTCACATCAGCAGGCCACCTACTGATCTTGGACTGGAACGTCTAAAACAGCGATCCAAAGCAAGCCTTCCTCCTTTTTATTGTGGTAATAAAATACCACAATAGAGAACAAACACACTTATCTCTGCCCCGCATTCAAGGACACTGGTCCACACAAGAGAATGAACCTTGCTGGACAGCGGGAGGAACCTCTCACAATGACGAGATGGAAACACAGTGCCTGTAAGAGCTGCGCAGCCGCAGTGCGCGACACCTGTACTCCACCACCCCCTCTGCTACAGCCCTGGCCTTTCAGAAGCTCGCAGAGCACAAGCACGCTGGAATAGGCTGCTGTGGCCGGATTCTTTTACAAAGCTGTTCGTTTTATTCTTTTATACCTAGATGACTCTGTATACATTGCAGAAGCAAATTTCCTTTCTTAAACACTGCATGCAGTTAAAACTGGCAGGCTGGAATAAAATAATTCTTCAGCTCTTAAAGTAGTTTATAAGACTAGATTGACAGGGAGAGGGAACATTAAGAAAAAAAATTTTGGTGCCAATACTAGAGCTCGAACTCAGAGCCTATCCCTGAACTTTTGTGCTCAAGGCTAGTGCTCTATTATTTGAACCATGGCTCCCCTTGCAGCTTTTGGGTAGTTAATTGGAGATCAGAGTCTCATAGACTTGCCTCCCCAGGCTGGCTTCTAATCTTAATACTCAGATCTCAGCCTCTTCAGTAGCTAGGATTACAGGTGTGAGCAGCCAAAGCAGTACTTGTTTAACCACAAAAGCATCATACCTGTAGCAGAGTTCCGCCAATGGCATGAGTGAATTAGACACCTACGCAAGAAATATTTCCATGGGGCAAGGCAATGAATGAAAACCCAGTCCTAGCCACTGCACACCACGGAGCTGACACCCAACTTCAAGGCCTACTCTGCGAGTTCTCCCTACACTTCAAAACAGGACCAGACAGGATACAGCCTAAGAAAACGGCCAGCGGTAAGACTGTAACAAGAAGTACACTTTTATTTGATGGCGTTACTAAGAATTCTTATTTAACCTCTGGCGGGTCAGGGCTGGATTTTGGGTTTCTTGGCAACCCCTGGCATCCAGGCCAGCGGTTGGCACCTGTGTGTGGCACCGTGAAAGGATCTGGCTTTGTGACAGCACAAAGCAACAAGGGAGAGGGCTACGAATAAGACCTGTAGGGCTACAGTGTGTGACTGTACCAGAAATGAACTGCACATGAACGTTAAAAGGTTGATAATAGAGAATACTGCTGGGTGCCTGCTACTCACGCCTATAATCCTAGCTACTCAGGAGGCTGAGATCTGAGGATCAAGGTTAGAAGCCAGATAGGGCAGGAAAGTCTGTGAGACTTTGATGTCCACTTATCTGGCCAAAACCTGGAAGCAAAGCTGTGGTTCAAGTGATAGAGCACTTAGGCCAGAAAGGTAAAGGACAGCACGTAAGCCCTGAATTTAAGCTCCAATACTGGCACAAAAATGATAACAATTACTACTACTACTACTACTAATAATAATAATAATACTGTGAACCCAACTCAAAACTGGTTTCATTTATTCAAGTATTTGTAGAGTATGTGCTATGTTCTAGATACTATTCCAATCCCAGAGGATTCAAACAACAAATCAAAAGCGCCCCTTTCCCCCTCCCCACCACTTGAGCTCGTGAGCACTGCTTTCTGGTGATTTAAAGGGGCTGAATGCCAGCAGAGGTAAAGGTTCCCTGGAGGCTAAGCACCACAGGTAGACCTTCCTGGAAATATGAACAAGATTCCTATCGCATCACACATAACACAAAAAGAGTCAAATCCTCAAAACGTGTCTTCTCAGCGGGAAAAGCAGAATCTTTCAGAAAAGCAACTATTTAGGGTGCCCAGCTCCAAACCAGACCCACTCACTATCCAGATAAAGGAGGAAGTATCACCCTCCCTTCTAGAACAGATGTTCTGTAAGATAATGAGATCCATAGGGTGACCAACTGGCAGTCCCCTTCTCCCCTGCCACACCCGAAGGTCCCGGAGGGTTCAAATTCAATCAAAGCAAACAATGACAGGAAGAAAAATTAAATTCACCAGGTGCTGGTAGCTCATGCCTATCATCCTGGCAACTCAGGAGAGACTGAGATCTGAGGATTGTGGTTCAAATCCAACCTGGGCAGGAAAGTCTGTGATATGAGACTGTGATCTCCATTTCACCATCAAAAAAAGCTGAAAGTAGTGCTGTGGTCCAAGTGGTAGAGGGCCAACCTTGAACAGGGACATCCAGGCCCCAAGTTCATTCTTCAATACCATAAATAATAATATAATACTATTATAATAATACTATATTGATAATATTATATAAGATAATAATATAATCATTGCCAAGCTATTAATTATTACAATATAGAGAAAGGAAAACTAAAATGCACCAGGCTGACAAAGGGATACCCTTTTTTGTTGTTGTTGGTCGTGGTGCCTGAACTCTGGGTCTGGGCGCTGTCCCTCAGCTCTTCAGCTCAAGGCTAGCGCTCTACCACTTGAGCCACAGCACCACTTCTGGCTTTTTCTGCTTATGTGGTGCTGAGAAATCGAACCCAGGGCTTCATGCATGCAAGGCAAGCACTCTACCACGGAGCCACCTTCCCAGCCCCAGGGATACCTTTCTTGCCCATAGGCTGAGAAGGCACAATCGGAACTCAGGGTCTCTGCGTACCTCTGGCAGTAGCCTCTGTGCCCAAGCCACTTGGAAGACACCCAGCCCTTTCTAGAAGGGCAAGGGGAGGTCTTCTCAGGGTCAGCTACAGGATAGGGCTATGCACCACCTCACTGCCTGCACGAATGCGACATTGCTTAGATCCCCTAGGCTATCTGTGGTCAGATTTGGGCAGATGATGGCATGGAGTCATAGGGTGGGACTGAATGGCTCTCTATAAAAGTCAGTGTGGCTGAAATGGATGAGCAGTCACAGCTGGGCCAAAGGAAGATGGCCAGCAGCAAAGCTTCAGGAAGTGGGTGGGCCATGGGCTGAAGGAAGGGCCTTGCTGTCAGGATTATGCAGAACACCTGTGCACACCATCCCCCCTCCCCATTGCTCTACTCACCACTCACAACTGAGCCAGGTAAGAGGCTCACAGGCCCAGCCGCTGGGCGGCTTATTCCAGGGATCCCACCTGGACCTCTAAATACTTCCTGGACAGTGCTCTGTTCTGGCACCCTCTTATCCAGCCCCAGTTTAGGATTTCATATTACAGCCTTTCTTAAAAACTCTGCTGGGTGTAGGCCGGTCCTACAATAGTTGGCCTCAGAAGAACATTTGGGCTGAGTCTTGGGGATTTTTATAAACAGGCTCATGGCACTGCCATTACTCATTAAAAATGACAATGCAAGCGGAGAGCTGTGGCTCACACCTGCAATCCTAGCTACTCAGGAGGCTGAGATGTGAGAATCCTTAAACAGCCCAAGCAGACAAATCAGAGACGCTTTATCGCCAACCAATCAGGAAAAGGCCAGAAGTGGAGGTATGACTCAAGGCTGAGTGAGAGCACGAGGCCCTGAGTTCAAGCCCTACAAAAGCACCAAACAAAAGACAATGCACAAAGGCACTAGGATCAAGCCCAAGGCCTCTGTACTTTAAGGCGCCACAAAGCCCGTCACTGAACTACAGCCCCTGGCACTCTCTTGACTCATGTACGCCCATCTCCTTCCATCCGCCAGGTTTACTCAGACCCTGGATCTCAAGGGATTGCTAAATCATGAGGTGAAGCTCATGCGAATTCACTAGGTAATGACCAAGTAGCCTTATCTGTCTTGTCACCCATTACTACCTTCACGTCTCCTCTGTCATCTACTTCTTAGAAGCACACTGAAGGCCCAAGGTAAAATTGAAGATGGCCCACTACACGGTTGAACTCAGAAGTAAATGCAGGCAGGAAAGCCCTGGGCTTGGCAACCCGAGTTGGGTCTGTTCCAATGATTCCAGTGAATATTATTTGAAACTCTTGCACTGGGTCAGGCAAATACTCGTCTGCGAGGCTGTGTATATTTCTAACTTTACACGGCGCCTGTGGTGCTGTATGAAGACCAGTCTTCTCACCAACATCAAAGCGGATCCCAGCTGGAAGCAGCACCATGGGGGGACCCCGGAGAAAAGAAACGGGTTCCACGTGTTGGAAGAATGTCACCCGGCAGAGGCCACGCCCCATCTCCCCTTGGGGGTCTGTCTCTTAGGCCTTACACGCATATATGAATCAACTTACTCTCTGCTCTATCATGGACGCTTTTGCTTTTCAGAAGACAAGATTCTGACCCCAAGGTAGGGCTGCTCACCCCAGGAATTAAAAATCAAAGGCATAACACTGTCCAACATCACGCCCGCATCCTCTAGGTCCAAAAGCTGCACACAGTAGTATAGGGAAAATGTATGCCTTGTAATGTTCCTTCCAGAAAAATCTGTGCAAGTTTAGCAGGCTTCTCTTTAGAGAGTCTCAGCTGTTACGGGGAGAGTTGGGGAGACAGACCCAGGACCTCATACATTCTAAGCACATGCTCTACTACTGAACACTTAACTCGGCTTTTCTAGATTCTTCTACGCTCTTCTAGACCTCTTCTAGGCTTTTCTCAATAAAGCAGCCATGAATCACTGTTCCCAAGCAGAGCTCACATCCAATACCAGATAAGCTGTTTAGGTAAGACATTTTTTAAACAGTTCCAGAGAAAGAAGCCATAGGTCAAACCTAAGCAGAGGAGCTATCCAGATGGCCAGCTTGACACTTGTTCCAGAAACCTTCGATTCAACAACACCCTAAAATTGACAGCATGAGCCTGTCTTTTCTTCTGAAGAAAATCTGTGGACAGTTGGTCTCATGGTCCCTGGAAAGACTTGATCTTCCCCAACCCCTGCGTCCTTCCCCAAGCCCGGAATTGACAGTTTACCTTCTATGACGACCACTTGGTCCTCTTCCTGGCCATTTGAGACTCCTTCTTGGAGGCTGGGGTCTCCTTGTTCGCCTAAGCCATTGGCAGCGGACAGCTGGCCATTCTTCTGAAGAAGCTGCAGGGCAGAGAAAGTCATGTGAACTCAGCTGCAGACTCCGTACCCAAGTTAGAAGCAACACACTCACTTCTAGAAAATGAACTACTCGGAAAGGAAGGCTCAAGGAAGTCTTGAATCAGCAGAAAGATGCAGCTAGCTTCCCAAAGCCATGTGAGGCAATTCATCATCAAGTAGACTGGGCCTAGGATCTGGGTGAGTGTGTTCACAACCAATAGGGAAGCCAGTTGGCCAGACAAGTCCTCAAGACTCTCATCTCCAATTAACTACCAAGAAGCCAGAAACAGAGATGCAGTTCAAGTGGTAGAGTACCAGCCGTGAACAAAGAAAGCCAAGCAAAAGTTTAAGGCCCTGAGTTCAAACACCAGTACTGGCTAAATAAATAAATAAAAGAATAGAATAATAAAAATACATATTTTTAAACTCACACATAAGACATTACAAAAGAACTCAATCTATACAAGGGTAAAATGACCTAAAGAATATTCCACAACCCAAGACATGCCAGTACAAAGAAAATCTCAAAAGAAGATGTGCAAGGAAACCTTGGCTTAGCATATAGCATACCTTAGATTCAATTCCTAGTACAGAAAGAAAAAGGGGCTGGGAAGGTGGCTCAGTGATAGAGTGCTTGCCTAGCATGCATGAAGCTGTGGGTTCGATTCCTCAGTACCACATACACAGAAAAAGCCAGAAGTGGAGCTGTGGCTCAAATGGTAGAGTGCTAGCCTTGAGCAAAAGAAGCTCAGGGACAGTGCCATTTAAGCCCCAGGACTGGCAAAAGAGGGGGAGGGGGCAGAGAAAGAGAGAAAGAGAAACAAAGAAAGAAAGAAAGAAAGAAAGGGAAGAGAGGGAGGGAGGGGGGAAGGAAGGAAGGAAGGAAGGAAGGAAGGAAGCCCTGTTCTACATCTGCCATCATTCATCGTGCTTACAGGCCAACGCAGGACTTGGCCACACCACAGGTCGGAGTCTGGAAGGCACAGTAGGCTCAAGACAGTCCACACAGACGCCGTGGGTTGTACTAAATTGATTTCACCTGGCTGTCCTCGGCTCCCATCAAAGCTGGCCTTCACCCACGCACACTTCCTGCTGAACTAACACCCTCGAAGCGACGCTCACTTCAAAATGCCCATGCTGAGTCCGTTTATTAAATGGAATACTCAGATTACATTGCCACTTAAAGTCTTCTCTTACCCAAAATATGAAAGATGGGAATTTTAAATGAAACCTAAGGAGAAAAGGAGAAGGGGCGGTGTCTCTACAAAGCACCATCAGCAGAAATGTCAGCATATTTTAAGTAAATAGCATTAGTGATGGCCTGGGTTCGAGTTGGATTTGATTCATAGTGTGAAGAGCTAAGGCAGAGAAATAGGACTCACACAGTTTCTGTAAGAAGTATTGGAATACTATACACTCCATGCAATAAACGAGAGTTAATAATTCCCATAGTTCTTTGCAATCAGGCATCTAATCAAGACATCTTTTAGTCAGAGCTAAACTGAGTCTGTGCCTGTAGACACAGACACAAACTTCCCTCTGACTTCAGAACGTTACCAGCATATAACAAAGTACATTCAATGGCAGAAAGGAGCCTTAAGAACAAAACCAAGGACAGGAGGCAGTGGCTCATGCCTGCAATCCAGCTACTCAGGAGGCTGAAAACTGAGGATCATGGTTCAAAGCCCAGATAGAAAAGTCCGTGAGACTGTTCTCTTTTTCTGGCGGTCATGAGTTCTGAACTCTGGCCCTGGGTGCTGTCCCTCAGCTCTTCAGCTCAATGCTAGTGCTTTACCACTTGAGCGAGAGTGCCACATCTGGCTTTTTCTGTTTAGGTGGTACTGAGGAATCGAACCCAGGAACTCATGCATGCAAGGCAAGCATTCTACCACTGAGCCACTTTTCCCAACCCCTTGTGAGACACTTATCTCCAATTAAACAACAAAAAGTCAGAAGTGGACCTATGGTTCTAGTGGTAAAGCATCAGCAACCCAGAGCCCAACTCAGGCTCTAAGCTCAAGTCTCAGGACTGGCACAAACAAAACAAAAAAGCAAGCCATGCTCAAAAAAATTAAGATGAAGCCAAGTATGAGTGGCTCACATTTGTAATCTTAGCTACTCAGGAGGCTGAGATCTGAGCATCACGGCTGGAAGCCAGTCCAGGGAGATGGGGGCAGGGGAGAACAAATCCAAGGGGTTAACCAGCAAAAAGCCAAAGTGGCGGTGTGGCTCAAGTGGTAATGTACCAGCCTTGAGCAAAAAAAGCTAAGTAAGAGCCAAAGGTCCTGAATTCAAGCCCCAGTTTCAGCACAAAACAAACAAAAAAAAAACCAAAACCCTTAAAATGAACTGCCCTGGGTCCATGACAATGGAGAGGTAACTTATGGACTGGCCCACAGCAGCGAGCAGAAGGGAACTGTGTCCCATTCCGAAAGGCACCAGATGCGTGAGTAACTTCAGCAGCTTTCTGTAACTTTATGACACTGAGTTACTGACAGGGCGTTGTGGGTCTATTTCACCATGTGCGTAACTTGAGTCCAGCAAGTGCACCCAAGCTGTGACCCCAGGGGTGATGTCTCGGTCAGCATCCAGAGCCCATGACGTCTCCACATTCCACGCAATATTGGGACTCCATTCCTTCTATCAGATCCAGACATTCCGCCATTACTTAGACATTTTCACAAGGTCTCAAGCATTCTTGCTCATGAATAGGATGCTTCTGCCATAAAAAAAGCATTTTGTTTTTTTCTCTCCCATTTGCAACCATCAAAATCTTTCATACTACTTTTTTTTTTGGCGGGGTGGGGGTGGGGGGCCGGTTGTGGGACTTGAAATCAGAGCTTGAACTCAGGGCCTGGGTGATATCCCTGAGCTCTTTTGCTCAAGGCTAGCACTCTACCACAAGTCACGGCGCCACTTCTGGTTTTCTGGAGGTTAATTGGAGTCTCAGGGACTCTCCTGACTGGCTTTGGACCACAATCCTCAGATCTCAGCCTCCTGAGTAGCTGGGATTACAGACAGGCGTAAGCCACCAGCACTCAGCTCATACTATTTTTTTTTTTTTGTTAAACTTTGGTACTTCTGAGACATAAACAGGTGAACATCACCTCCGATGGAATGTAAATGTATTCCTTTTCAGTCTTTTTTAAAACACAAAAATGGGGAACACAAGTGAGTTTATAAACTCATCTTTTTGTGTGCTAAGGGCACCTCCTTGTTGTTTTGGTGTTCTTGTTAGTTTGTGAAACAGGGTCTCACAAGGCTAACTCACAAGGCTGGCCTGGACCTCAAGACCCTCCCACGTCAGCCTCCCTGGGTACCGGGATTACAGGTATACATCATCATACCAGGTTTCAAGGACAGACTTCTTTTTTGGTTTTAATGGTGTCTGTTATTATAAAGGTAATGTTCAGAGGGGTTACAGTTATGTAAGTCAGGTAAAGAGTATATTCTTTTTGGATAATGTCACTCCTTCCCTTCCTTTCTCCCAGTTTTTCCTTCCCACAAATTGTACAGTTCATTTTCAACATAGAGTCTAGTGAATACCATTGCTGCATTTGTTCACCCTTTGTCCCTCCGTTTCTGTGCTGGACCCATTTCTTTATCAAAGAACACCTCTCTCTCCTCTTGGATCAGGAGACTCATGACCAGAGAAGAAAGGATGCACACACACAACTCAGCCTCGCAAGAGCCTGAGAGCTGTCAGGTTCACGGCTGGGGGGGGGGGGGGGAGGTTGGGGGGGGACAGTGGAGAGCCAGCTGAGATTTGAGGAATCCAGTTGTCATTTATGATTTCCAAACAAGAAAGAAAGAAAGAAAATTGTTTCTGCTTTTTCACTCTGATGCTTCCTCCCAGAGCTTTATCTAAGTCCCATCCTGGACTTAGTTTTATGGACACATAGATTTCTTTTGAGACAAGAATGAGACTTGAAAAACATACTCCTCACACTTCAAGATGGTGAACAGCAGAAACCCAATCTTCCCACTGGGTTTGTGCTTCAAAAAGTCTAAACGCCTCCTCTGAACAAATCAAAACCCTAAATGTTCTCAAGCTTATATCCTCTGGGTAGGTCAGCCAGAGTTTATTCCGTGAAGTATTACCACATTACAGCCAAGCAAGCATGAAAAAGTATCTCAAATGCTTCCACCAACAGTGTTTTTCTCTTCTTTCTGGAAGAGAATATCCAAAATGGTAGCCGTCATCCCAGGGAAAGCTCCAGATTTTTCTGCTCTCCTTCCTCCTCTCAGAACTGTCTCCAGCTCACTCTGTGCCTCCACACAGAGTAAGCACTGGAAATACTAAGCTCTTTAGTCAATTTCTGGAACAATGTAAAAAAGCACAAGGCCGCTATTGGGACATTGGGAGTAGAGGAGCAGAGACTACTTAAATAACTGTTATCACTACAGAAGCAACATCCAACCCCTACTCCAGATGCCACGCCCACATCCTCACTGGATGCCCCACCCACATCCTCAGTGAGTGCCCAACTCTCTTCCTCATTGGATGGATGGCCTGGGTAGGAAAGCACCACCAGCATCCCCATTGGTCACGTGGTTGTTCTAACCACTCTAAATCATTCCATCTACTGCAGCAAAAGCCAAGCCTGAAGGGAATTTTTTTTAATCTTGTAACAAAATCTTTTTTTTTTTTTTTTTTGCCAGTCCTCGGGCTTGAACTCAGGGCCTGAGCACTGTCCCTGACCTTCTTTTGCTCAAAGCTAGCACTCTACCACTTGAGCCACAGCGCCTCTTCTGGCTTTTTCTGTTTATGTGGTACTCAAGAACCGAACCCAGGGCATCATGCATCTACTGCTAAGCAACATTCCCAGCCCCTTGAAACAAAATCTTAGAGAGAATTTTTCCATTCTTTTTCTTTTTCTTGCTTGTGTGTGTGTCTGTGTATCACCAATAGAGAAAAAGGGGTTAAGAGGCTGAAGGTGTGGCTCAAGCCATAGAATACTTGCCTACCAAGCCCTGAGTTCAAATTCCAGTGTTGGCAAAAG